AGGAACTGTGTTACCCCCAGAAGGGAGGAACGCTGAATGACCTAGCCGGAGGCCTGAGTCGCGAAGAGGACACTGGTTCCTGGGACTGACAGAGGGGATGCAAACCAGAGGGAGAGACAGGATGACCTACAAACCATGAAGGGAATACTGACCTCAAGAGCTAATCCCCAGAGCAACCAGGAGGAGCCAGACCAGCAGTGAGTGATGCACCCTGTGAGATTAGGCAACGGGAGGAATAGGGCAACGCTGATCACATACTATGTACAACCAGCCAATTAATCAACACTTTTGGATGACAGCTTGGAAGTGTCCTACAGAAAAGAAGCCGGGGAGACCCCTTCTTTCTCTCTCCCTAATCCCATGTGTATGCATCATTATACATAGTAAGCTGTGTCACTCTGGTGTCATCTGGGGCATGGGGGAGACAGATAAATTCTGTTTTATACTTAGAAGTTACATGGAGTACAATCCCCCCATGAAAGTTATCAGAGGGAAAATGCAGTTCATTCTCCTGTAGCTGTATGGGCTTTGCAGTGCCAACATGAATTAAAAAGTAAATTTATTTTGGATTACTAAACAGACATGACTAGTAATACAAGAAGCAAATTCACTGAGCACTTTTTAGAGCAGAGACACACTTTAAAGTTAAATATTCGTCATGTAGCAATTGTATAGGTAAATGAAGAAGTCATTACATACCTACTAGCTTACACACAACTGCGGGCACTACAACCTGATTTCTTAGAGTTCTGGACAACACTAAGGAGGAATGACTGAATGTGTGCTTTTCAGGAAATGTTAAAGCTGTTGCATGACTTCCTCATGTGCAGTGTCAAACAAATTTTGGTTCTTGAATCAAAGTTAGGCTGATAGTTGCAGTCTAACTATGGATAAGTGTTCTCTAAACTAAATAAACACAATCATAAATCGATCTGATCTACAGTAAGCTTTAAAAAATGAATATGGTAAAGTTGTAGCTGATCATTTCAAACCAAAACACCTAGTAAAGTTAGAGGTATACTATTACACTAAGTTTAATTAATGGTGAAAAGCAAAACTAAGTTTGACAGCATGAAGTTAACAGTACAATGTACAGACTAAAGGAGACATTCTGCCTTCAAATTTACATCAATAGTTCCCTATGGGTGATCAGTGCATGTATCCAAGGACTGGATCTGACCCTAAGGAAGCTGTTTGGAAGTATATTTCTCACTAATCTAATGGATCAGTATATCTTACTAATAGCTGCATAGCATGTCATTCTTAGAAAACAGTTAAAGGTCCACAATCTACAAATAAACAGTCAACAAATCCTGAGGTCTCTGTGACTATTATATGATTAGAGTACAATTATTAACACTGAGCCTGGTAAGTCTGAGACTAACATGAATAACAAGATAGCTAAAAGGATTTTTTTAAGTTGTAGAAAGATGAAAGCGTGAATATGTAACAGAAAATTAGGCTCCTTTCCTGCATAACACCAAATTAACGTTCTGATATGGGACAAAAAAAAATTACAAACAAAACTTTGTAACAGAATAAGGTTCAATTCTTTTAGTGCTTTAGTTGTGAAAACATGAAGGGCTCTTATACCTTTAGGGAACCACTCTGTGTTGAGTGCCGTGTGACTACTACCAGCCTCCTCAGTGAAAGTTCCGGGAAAATCACCCTTGTAGCAGGCCCATTTCCTCCTCATGTTCCAGCATGCATAGCGGAAGTGTGGCTGCAGCGCCATATTTGGAGAGACTGCAGTATCCACTCTTTTCTATGCCCAGCCAGCTCGGCTTGTGGGTAAGGAGAGGATGAGACATGGCACTGTCAGCTTCCCCCTTCCTGTGGGAGAATCTAGTACCAGCAAATACATTAGCCCTGAGTAGTCCTTCCACTCATGGTGAGTAGCACAAAGGCAGGGGTGCAAGGGATAGCCATTCCCCCACTGTGTACTTGTGCCTGGGCCAACCACAATCTTGCCTTTACATTTCTAAAGCAAGGTAACCAATCAGACTATTCTATTTAACAAATTGTGTTAATTACACCATCAATCTGAAATATAGTTTGTTTAAAAAAAATGATTTAAAAGTACTTGCAGGTAGTTCACTATGCCTTTGTCCCTCTGCCAGTTTCTGTGATTTTACAAAAAAATTTCCTCTCCCCTGTTGCTGTGTGAAAGACCCACACAACCATTAGGGAAAACTGTCTAATTATATAAAAGAAACCATAAAATTATTCTGAATAAAGTGCTGTCAAATGCATAAACCAAACTGGAAAAAAATAGGGAAAGCATTTTTCACTAATTTCTTTCAGCTGTGGGAATCTTAGGTGTTACTTTTAACAATAGTAGGTAAAAAAACAAAACCCTCAGACAGAAGGATAATTTTTAAGTTGAAATATCATATTTTTAAACAATTAACCACATGTTCTACTTTTTACAAATAAAAAAATGGAAAAATACAAACAAAATAAAAATTACAATGAGATCCCTCGTATAATTACACTGAAGCCCATGGAGTTACACCAAGGATTAATTTGCCCAGTGATGTAAAACAGAGCACTGGTCTTTACAGTAACCTACAACACATTGCATAATCCAAAACATTATGAAAATCAACCAACAAAGACCTACAAATAGTTTGGGGACAATAAATAATTCTGGATCAGGCACTAAAGGCCAAATCCGGTACCTACTGATATCTATGGCAAACTCCTCTGGTCTTCAGTGGGACAGGATTTGACCCTAAGGGGACATTTAATTTAATATAGGGTCTGATCCTGTAAACCCTCCATATGCAAGATTCTCATGACCCACATGAGGCTTACAGAATCAAGACCATAATTGATATATTTAAAAATAAAGTTACAGTCCAAACTAAAAATCCTTTGTCATGAATATTTAAACTTTGCAATGCTTTAGTGGACAAGAACAGATCTTAAAGTTCTAAGAAAAAAATATGGATTAATAAATATAGTTAATAGAACCATAATATTTCTGTTTGTCTTTTCAGATTTGAATAAAAATCAGTGCAGTTTATTGAATATTAATCTTTTAAAAAATCATTAGATTAATATGCACACACAAATATATAATTACATACTTGGAAAGCTATTTCTGGAAAAAACAGAACTTTTGATATTTTCACAGTCTTAGTAATAACCATCAGAAATTTATTATATATTTAGGAATATCTATGCATATCTCCCCACAACACACACAGAAGGGGAAACTAATAATTAAAATAGTTTGCAAAGTCGATCCAGAAAAGTGAAATGAAAGCCATCCTAAAACTCAGTGTTTGTCGTCTTAGTTAAAAGCAGTGTGATTTGATAGATCTTGGAAATTAATTTTCAAAATATCAGGTTAATACATACTGTTATATATCTTATTGAAAGATAATTAGCAGCATGATGGTGCTGACCATCTACATAACACAGTGTAGTATACATTATTGAATTAATTTTCCCTCTGATGGCAAGCTGTTGAAATCTATCCATTCTGATAAACACTCTGCCCAGCTATAGTTTTGTACACAAAACAGGTTACTTCATTTAGTCTTACTAGGGGAGAAGTTAGAAGTGGTTCTAGCTACCTCCTAATCTCCCAGGCAGATGTTTTACTAAAACATTCCTCCTGTGCTCAAAAAGCATGAAAGCACACAAACCCAGGAGGAGCCACTGAATGGAAAACGATTATCTCTTCCACATGCTTTAACTCAACTCTCCAACACATTAAAAAGGTTTAAGGCTTCTTGTGTCTTTGAAAGAAAAATCTCTGCCAAATGATTTGGTGTTTTCTATCCAGCTGTGTTTTCATTAGTCCAAATCGCTCTCTAGTCATCATCCTACATAGTGCGATTTAAAGTGTGCAGTCTAACAACAAACGTCCACATTTCATCTGCCATTTTCGACAGACCCGAAGTCCGTAAGTATACCACAGTACACTATAAAAGAATTATTTAAGGAACCGTGTATATGCCATGGAGTTTTCTTCTTTGATACCCTTTGGAAAGTTGATTCTCTCATCACGGTTCAGTTCTATCCTTCACTGAAAATGTGCCCAGATGGAGTCTGTTTATTTTGCAGTTAATGAGAACGGAAGGAAATGTAGCGATAAAATATTAAAACCCTTCCTTGCTTCCAGCACTGCTGTTTTAATCTTTGCAAAGCCCAACTTGAACAAAAACGGTGAAACCCTCAAAGTCAGACATCACTGCTCTCTCCCAAAATCACGTACATCTTTAAAGAGAGAAAGAGATAAAAGCAAGGCTGGTGGTTGTTACTCTAGACAGCTTTTGACTAGCGATAACTATGTTTTTGATGTATGATGCAAAAAAACCCATGTGAAGTACTGTGGATTCACTCAGAATCTCTCTCCAGCTTCCTAATATTAGTCATTACACCTGACAAGCACCAGACCTTCTATTAGCCAGTGCCTATGCACTGTATTCAGAATCAATTTCTTACAAATTCCAGATTAAGCTCTTTTACATATGGTACAAATACACACACACCTGCATTGTAAAGCTATGCGTTTTCATGAATGACTGAACTAATCGCACTGTAGGAAGCAGCAATCCTATGGACATTTTGAAAGGGAAAAGCGTCTGATCTGAACAAATTAGAAGCAGAGGGACCACAACCTGTTCTCCCAAAGGCACCTCAGTTAGGATTACTTTGACTCTACTGCACTTTGGGTGGGGAGCAGCAAAAGTAAGTGGGATTTGATGGGGGTGGGGGGCAGCTAGCCCTTTTCTACGTCTTTAAATAGATGCTGCCAAGTCTCTCCCTCCATCCTTGAGGGGGGGGGGTAATATCAAAGTATTTTATAAGGGAGGGTTTTGCAATGAGGCATGCACAAGCTCTCACTCGGAACCGGCCCCTGCTCCTGGTCACTGCAATCCGGGCTGAGTCCTGGCGGAGGAAAACACCTGCCTGCCCTACCACACATGAACACACCAAGCCCATGGCCTGCCTCCCTGGGGACTACTGCCAGGTGGGCAACTTACTGTAGAAGATGTACTCGGTGTAGCTGCTCCAGATCTTGTCCTCCCTGTACTGGTTGATGAAGGCGGCGGTGCCGGTGGAGTTACAAGCCACCATGTGGAAGCCGGCCTCCGAGAGCCGGTCAAACGCCTGCTCCAGGTAGGTGAACTTGAGGTAGAAGCGGGAGGTGTATTTCTCCGGGGGCCGGTCGGGGTCCCGACTCTCGTTGAGCGTCTCCCCGAACACCTCCTTGGCCAGCGCTATCCTGCCGCACACCATAATCCGGGCCACCCTGCGGAACTTGGCGTCCGCCTGGTTCTCCCGCACCGTGGTGTACGAGCCCCGGTAGCCCACGGTGAGGAAGCCCGAGCGCTTCTCCAGAGCGGCCCCGGCCGCCGTCCGCAGCAGGAGGTCGCCGCTGCCCTGCGAGTTGCTGTCCTCCAGGTCGCTCTGGCAGCCCTCGTCGTTGAGCGAGCCCTGCTTGGTGACCTTGGGGGAGAGCAGCTTGACCAGCTCCCCCAGCTGGAAGTACTCGGCCTCCCGCAGCAGCCGCTCCTTCTCCGGGAAGTGCTCGGGCAGGGCCAGCTGCTTGTCCCGCAGATAATCCAGCACGTATCTGAAGAGGAAGCCGTCGCGGTCGATGAAGAAGCGCGCCCGGCTGTCCCTGGGCAGCTCCCTGGCGGCCGCCTGGCTGCCCCGGCGCGGGGAGAACATGCTGGCCAGGGTGCTGTCCGGGACGCTGAGCAGCGTGGAGTGCTTGGTCACATACACCTGGCCGCCCACGTTCAGCTCCACCACCTCGGGGAAGGGCGAGCAGGACGGCGCGGCGGAGGAGGACCCCATGTCACTGATGGGTAGGATGCTACTGCTGCCGCCGCCCGTGTCCTTCAAAGCCATGGCTGCAATGGACGAAGGGAGCGTCTCCAAGCCCCCCTAGCCCGGACGGCGCGCGTCTGCTCAGGCCGGCGGGCTCCGCGCGGCTGGAGGGCTCGGCCCACGTGTGCGCCCGGCTCCGTGCCCCAGCTGCAGGGAACTTCCCCGGGGCGCGCCCTCTCCCCCTCACTGCCCCATCCGGAGCTCCCCTCCCTCGGAAGCGTCTTCGCAGGCTTGGGCCCCGCTCCCTGCCCGCAAAGAAGGTACCAGTCCCTGCGCCCCAGCTGGAGGACTTTCCCAAGGCGCTGTGTCCAGCAGCTGCAGCCCCTTTATCGTGCCGCGCAGTCCGCAGGAGCGCGAGGGGCGGTGTGCGGGACCAGCTCCTTTTCAGCATGAACAGCCCTGCCTCTGCCCGCCGCTGCCTCCCCGCTGTGCCTGAGCAGCAGCAACTCCCAGCCCCAGGCAGCAGCAGCAGTTCGGGAAAGCCGCGCTGACGTCAAGCCCCGGCAGCAAGGAGAAGTGGCTGGAACTTTGCAAGCAGCTGTCACTTAAAGGGGCAACCTGAAGGGCGTTACTAGGAGTGGGTAAGAACTGGATCCTGCCAGGTTTTATCCCAATCCCCTACATTCTACTGCCTAAATTATTCTGGTGCGCCGCTAGGAGAAGCTGCACAGCTATTAAATTCAAACTGTAAAACTGCAGCTATGCAACCAAATATTAGCCAGATCCAGCAGGATACAGGCTGTGGTGGGAGTGGGGCAGATTTTTTTTGGTGGAACTGAAGAATCAATAGGTCTTCTCTATTTCTGGTTTTGTGGCTAAAATTTGCAGGATCGCGCAGCCAGATCTGAGTTTTTGCTGTGCTATTTCAGTGGGGTGTATCAGGGTCTGGATTTTCAAGGTGCAGTAGGAGCAGCTAAATATGTTTTTTATTTAGGCAGTGGAATTTGGGTGATTTAGACCCAAAAAATGGCAGATTCCGTGAAGATCCAGGTACCTGGTTTTGGTTGCACTGTTGAACCCAGATGCATTGCCATCTGGAATTTTTGTTAGTATAGAAGCAGCTAAACTTGTTCTCTGTTTAAGCAGTGGAATTTGCAAAGTGGAAGCCTAAAACTGGCTGGATTCACGTTCCCAATCTATGTATTTGCAATCTATCATGAAAGGAATAGGGATTTAGATATTTTTGGTGTAAAATGAGTTTCTACATGTTTGTAGATATTTGTATGTTAGAATTAGAGGTTTTGAGACCTAAAATTGGATGCAGATGCCACATCTTGGTATTTGCAGCCTGTTATGCTTGGATACGCTAGGTGGGGGGGGGTGTTAATACAATGAGAAGAGCTAGACTTGTTCTCTGTTTAGGTAATAGACATTGGGAATTTGAGCCAGCATTTGGCAGGATCCACCTGCCACATCTAGTTTTTTGTGGTGCTGTTGTGTCATGGCTCAAGGTATTTTTGTAAAGTAGAAGGAGTTAAAATTGTTCCCCATTGAGGTCGTCAAGGCTACTTCCTCACTCTGAACTTTAGGGTACAGATGTGGGGGCCTGTATGAAAACTTCTAAGCTTAACTACCAGCTTAGATCTGGTCTGCTGCCACCACTCCCAATGTGC